GTGAGCCATATCAGCGGAAATAAGGCTGCAGGTCATGCTACAGTGCCTTGCTTCAGGCAAGCATTGCATGTCTGTGCACTTACACTCAAAACATTGCTCCTTTTGTGTAGCATCTGAGACTGTTCAGTTTAACCTACGCATGAAATTGGAGAGCCTCGCTTATAGACCCGGCATTACGTTGTGTGTTGGAAAACGCCTGCAAAGTCTTGAAACAACGTGGGCTAAATCTATAGTTCACTAGAGCTAAATCTACAAAACCAAACGACAGAGAAAAACAAAAGCTGTGCTTGTTGCCAGACTCATAATGGCACCCTCAGCTAAATCTGTTGTGTTATTCAACGTGAATCTGAATGCTACAAAGAGCTTGACATTTTCTGTCCGCGACTTCAACGGACGCGCCACGGATGGCACGAATCTGTGACGTCAGCCCGCTATGCGCCGTCCGCCACAGAAAAGACTGACTTCGTCCGTCATGTGATATGCCCTGACAGGCCGATTTGAGAGTTCTATTTACAACAACAACAAAAACATTGCAACTAAGACTCATCGTGAATATGGCTACAATGATAAAGAAACAAATTTGCATGGTTCCTCCGGGGCCTCTACCAGTGCCTTCCAATAATTAACTTGCCTTCTAACGCTGCATATCATGTACCATCTGGGCAACTCAGAGAGTGCGAAAATTTCCTTTTGAAAAACACACTCCACTAGCCTGCAGCTACATTATGTATTATTACACAAGAAGCCTACCCTCTCTTATTTTATGGCATAGTGCAATTCAGCCCAATGTTGCAACCAGTAGATTAATACTTTCATCCTCAATCCTACAACCCACATAGGAATATTTACTTAAGAAATGTGGACCAACGAGGCAGTATTGCATTACTTCAGTGTACAAAGCAGCAGATGACTAACTCTAGAAGAAATGTGTACGCACAAAGTACTGACTTGGAGAGCCTCTAGTTCTACCTTAACGTTATAATGTTTCATATATTCATATGCAGACTTGTAAATGTATATTTATATGAGTTAACCTGATCAGTCCCTAGTTGTCTGTCATGCCGATTTGAGAGTTCTGTTTACAACAAAAAAATGCATTGCAGCTAAGACCCATTGTGAATATGGCTACAATGATAAAGAAACAAAGGTGCATGGTTCCTTCAGAGCCTCTACCCGTGCCTTCCAACAATTACCTTGCCTTCTAATGCTGCATATCATGTACCATCTGGGCCACTCATAGAGTAGGAAAATTACCTTTTGACGCACTCCACTAGTCCTGCAGCTACGTTATGTATTACCGTATTTACTCGATTCTACCGCGCCCTCGATTGTAACGCGCACCCGATTTCCATCGCGAAAAAAAAACGTAAGACATCGATTGCAACGCGCACCCATTTTTCTCCCTGGCCCGCACGATCACACCACTCAAAAAAACGACCGCTTTCGTGAGCGTCTGCCATTTAAATATGAGGTACGGGCGAAGCTTGTGCTCATCTGACATGTAACAGAGCATTGCCGTCGCTGTAGTTTTACCGTGGACCGATGTCAGCACATGAACTTGCTTCGCCCCCTTCTTCTCGACGGTTGTGGTGCCAGGCATGTCGAAGTAAAGAGGTGTCTGATCGGCATTCCCGATTTGCCCAAGCAGGTAGAAGTTTAGGACGAACCTCTGAAAACTGTGAAGCTTTTCATCGTATTCCTCCGCAAAACTTTTCGCATATGCATGTTCCCCTTCGGACGGAAAAGCCTTTCCTTTTCATAAAATTAGTTAGCCAGCACCTGCTCGCTTTAAACTGGCTCCACATTAGACTTTTTTCTAAGACTAATTGCATAGCCCGCACTTGGAGCAGTTCTGTCGTCACAGGCCGCTGTGCTGCTCGCTGCTCAAGCACGTACTCGCCAAGCAGCTCTTTAATTTGCGGAAACCGGCCCTGCTGTGGTCCACTGAAGCCTTTGCGTGAAGCTTTGCTGTCGACAATCTTTTGCTTTTGTTTCCGCCGGTCCCGCATGCACGTATCGGGAACTCCGAACGACCGCGATGCGGCCCGATTTCCGTCCGTATCTGCACACGCGATGACTTTTCTTTTAAAAGCGGCATCGTGGTGGACTCGAGTTTTCGGAGTCAGCCCTTCCACGCCGTCGATGCTAATGCACTACTAGATGACGAACTCCTCAGCACACGTACGAAGTGCCGCACATGGGAAACACATAGGCAGAAATGGCCGACGCGCCATGCCGACGCACGTAGGGGGCGGCCATTTTGGATTTGCCGATGGCAATAGATTGACCGTAATTTTTTTTTTCGTACTCGATTCTAACGTGCATGCGATTTATTAACTCGCTTAACCGGAAAAAAGGTGCGCGTTAGATTCGAGTAATTACGGCATTACACAAGAAGCCTACCCTCTTTTATTTTATCAGCTACAGTTACTAATTAGTATGCTTAAAAGTTAGAACCTTCCCAATAGGTGCATTGAACGATGAGTGACTCTGAAAAGTCCCAATAAGGTGAATTAAAAAATAAAAGCCTTGCAAAGCAGGAAGACCTAGATGTCACTTTTGGTGGCTGCTGTAGAATGTTTACAGTTTTCTCGACAATTGCATAAGATACGAGCTCGACCCTTGACACTGTAGATGAGCTCATGCATCTAGAGCTAGAACCTGAAATATTGGCCACTTCATCAATTTCATTAATTTAATTTTACACTATAAATTCTGAACTTTGAAAGGTACTTCTGTTCACAACATTACACGCACAGTTTTTAGTAATATGGAAGGAAACGATTCCGGAGACCAGAGTCGGAGCATTTGCCCAATAAAAACAATCCTTGCAAATTCTAAATTTACATCAACTGAGGTAATAAAAGCAGTCGCTACACTAGTCACAAAAAAGTCCTCCAAATGGCAACTGAGGCAAACAGCCCACAACAAATCCAGCAATGCCCAAATAATGCTACTGTGCATACCTAGTACACGTCACCTGCCCTCCAAATTCTTGCAGCTCCAAAACACTGCTTCAAAAGGAACATTAACGAGGGATTAACCTAAAAGAAAACACACATTCTGCCTTTCAAGATGGAGCTTGTCTTATGCAAACTTACAGCCCTAGCATTGGCCCACTACGCTCGGATAGTGCATTCTAGCATGGAAAAACTACCAGAACAACAAAATGCATGTAACAGTGCCTTTAACAAGGAAGGCAACACTGCTTCTAATTAGCATTGTGGGTATATAATGCACCTTTAGTGGCCCTACCAAACTGTCACACATCTTAAATTATGTTGCTTCAGTTTGAAAGGCTGCTTGGTTGGCAGCAGTATTGTCTGAAGCGTCACCCACTGCGACAATTTCAAAGAACTACCCATACACTTAGGCTGCAGCGAAAAGCACTGTTCAGGCTTCTCGTGAGGCACAGAAGGAAGGGAGGACAGGTTTGGTGCAGCTCTAGCTATGCAGCAATAGCGCGCGGCAGTGTGCCTTTAAAATCAACTTGTGACAGTTGCCAGCTTGGCAGTTATGACAGCAAGAGTACTCGATGGCATCACCATCCATGCCACCACAGTTGCGTCGTCCTGTAAAGAGGCCGTCCCCAACGAGAGTATAGCTTAAACTTGCCTGCCAAGGGCCTCACAATTAGTGGCAGGAGGGGAAGAGCGAGTTGTGTGCGACTCGAGATTTGGTTTAGCAACTACGAAGAGGTAATCACCCTCCCAACCTTTGCTACAAAATTCAAAAAAAGAATGGGGGAGGAAAAAAAGAGAAAAAAAGAAGGAGGTGAATGAGTACAGAGTTTCTCCAACCAATGACGACTAGCACTACAATTAAGGCGCTTGGCTACACACGCACACACGCAAGTACATGCACAGGTACTGCTATAAATGCCACACTCAGAGAGACAATACCATTTTGAAAAAACAATCATTGTCTTATCTCTATTGCCAATCAGGTCATAAAAATTTCAAGTGACCTAGTTAGCAATGTAGATGAGGCTTTAGACACAGATAGAGTGTACCAAGGCCATCACTGCTGAGAACACGAAATCTTTGTACGGGTTAGCCACATGCACCTTTACATGTGTGCTCTGGAAGGCTGCTTGTAGCATAATAATGTAAAGCACACATGCTTTCGTTCGATACTTACGAGCACTTAGAAAGACTGGGCAAGTAGATGTCATAGTGACTATGGTGCAACTAAAGTTCTATTATTAATTCTTATGCTGGGCTTCTTGCATTGTAGAAGTTTTTCTTAACAAAATTTGCAAAGCTTTTTTTTTGCGAAATTGTAAAAGAAGAGATGCATTTTGCACATTGCCAGAAATTGGTGCTCACAGTGGCCGCCTAGGCCCTGCATGCATAATGCAGTTTCGTTATCGTCAACTGGCAACCAAGCCATCACCAATAAAACAGGCTGCACGTGGATTGAACCTCGCATACTTACATTTCAGGATTAATCAACACCCGCAGTTTCATACACATAATAAGAATGGCAACATAGCTTGAGGCCCACTTAAAAGCTTTGCACAAAACACTAAATTACAATAAAGCAGAGACCACATTTGAAAATAAGATGAAACAATATAAAAGCAGTGTACCACCATTAACTAAATAAATAAAATAACATTGCTGTGGCATGAATAAAATTATAAATTAGGAGATGCAATACTAGTGAAGCAAGAAAATTTGTCTAGTGCAATCTTTAAGTACGTGCAAGGCCATATCGCAGAACGGTTCCGAACAGCCTTCTGCAAGCACTTATTTCATCCTCGCCACATTCAGAAGAGACAAGACATGTAGGTGTCAAGCTGCTGAAGGAATTCAGGCATTCAAGGTAACAAAAGTACTATGCCACAATCATTAATTATTCACAACGAAAGTAACTAAGTTATCCAAAAGTATATTTTCAAATGGTCCGTGTCTCAAAACTTATTTGAGAGAAAATTTGAACAACACAGAGGGTAATGATAAGGAGAAAGTGAGAAACAAAACTGATGGCAACCATACCTGGTCTTCGTTTAGATAGTTTGGCAATCCACCAATGAATATTTTATGAGGAGAGTCCTGCACTACCGTTGAAATAACACCTGAAAGAGAACCCAAATCCAGTTGTCTCCCGCCCTAACCCACCAGAGAGTTCCTGGGGAGGAATAGGAAGGCACAAGAAAGGAGCACAGTGGGAAGAAAAACTGAAAGAAGGCAAAGCGACGCACGGAAAAACACTTAGACGTGCCAAGCCAAACAGTGAAGGAGAATTTCAATGACTAGCATGGTTAAAATATTTTCCAGTAATTAAAGCCCCAAGCACTGCCTCCTCCATAGATTGTTGGGTGGTATATGACAGTGATAGCCTGCACCAAACGTGCTGGCACGAAAGTTACATTCTACAGAGGCGTGAACAGTTTTTTCTGGGTGCACTGCTGGCAATTCACGCACAACGGCACGACAGTCGCGTCGAAGTGAAATCTAACGCGAAAAGGTGCCTCTTGAAGCTCGCCGGAAGCACTGCCGCGTACAGAGATAAGACGTACACACTCCAATGGCTGCAAATAAAAGACTGTGCAAGAAAAAAAAAAGAAAGATGGAGAGAAAGAGAAACTGCGTTTGTCCAGAGACTCCACTGATGCGGGGCTCGGACCTGAAGGCTTCTAATGCCCCCCTTTTACCTAAAACTGTGCGGGGAAAAAAAAAGAGGAGGAAAAAAAAGGAAGATTCCAATTTTACAATAAATTAATGGCAAATTTTCCAGTTTAAGAATATCTGTACATATCACAGAACACTAGCCTGCCTTACAAACCGCACCTACTTGAGAAAATAAAAGATCGTGCATCTGATTGAATAACAATATAGCCGAACCACGATACAATGAATCACATCCTAACCTACAACACTTTTGTTACAAATAAACATGCCAATTTTTAGATTATGTATATGTATTCCAATTAGGTCTGTCTAAAATAAGAACAAGCAGTATTATGTCCCCTAAGGAACAGAAACCTGTTAAACAGATGACCCGGTAGCAGCTTGTTATGCCCATTCATGGTGAGTGCCCAATGCTGAACTGCCAACATGCTTTTTCACCGAGGTCGACAAGCAGCCAAATGATCAGCACAACCATGTGGCATAAGTACACTGTTTGCAAGCTGCGTGCCAGCCAAGCTATAAGGCTGAGTGTGCATGCATGTTGTGGATGTGCTATCTGTGGCCACAGCTGGGCTTTGACAGACTTGCCATGAGGATATACTTTGAGTTGTCAGTGAGCAAATGTTTTCTTTGAATTTTATTAATGGACTACTCAATGAAACATGAAATTATCGGACTAAATTGCGATTCACGTCACTATAACTAAGGATTACAGTAATTTTCATCATATCGAAGCTCGACTGTTACAACTGTCAACTCACTCAAATCTTGTTCACAGGACGTAAAACAGTAAAGACGAAAATATTATACACCACTTTTAATTACAATAGCTGGCATAGCACAACCACTATAATGAATAAAGAAATAATCACAACTGAGCTCTCAGTGTAATATGAATGCCTCTGTAATGCGTATCACTCAACGAAACAAACGCACATTCCTAACGATACGAAAACACCACAATCCACCCATTATCACATAAAAAAAACCATTAACTCAAACATAATCTAGCCAGAGTCTAGCAAAAATTGTCATGTGAAAATACCCGCTCATCCTACAGTGTGCACATTATTTAATAGCCCTTCCAGATTCTGTCCAAGCAAAACAGCTTAGATTTTCACACATTTGTGAACTGCCATAGCAAAATTTTTCTGATTTTTTTTTTTTTTTTTTTGGAATTGCTTGGTTCAAAGTAGACCTTTAGATCTAGGTTTTATCATGCAAGGGCCCCACTATGCAGCATGACAAGAGAACCTGTCACAATCAAAATGATTTTGAATCATGTAACGAGGCTACACAACTTCAGGAAGATGTAATGTCTTTAACCCATTTAGTAGGTAACAAGTTGGCATACAGGTACAACCATCCATATGTATTTTCAGGTTTGTTAGGTAATGGTAAATTGAATTTAGCTTCTGCATAACTTTGCAACTTCTAAATAAATTACCTTTCCTATAACTTTCCCCTACATGCAAAATGCAAGAGCAATACCCATTAGTTTAGTGATTTCTCATTAAAGACTTGACAAGACAAGACAGGCATATTCTTGCAGACATTAAATACTGTGCCCGTATGACAAGTTTTTCAAAACTCTGCCTGTTCTTTGCAAAGAACTTGAGAAGTTAGTCAAAGCGTTTAACTTCATTCATAATAAAGGGCAAGCGAATGTTTTCTTGTCACAGTGGTTTTAAAAAAGCCAGAATGCATTCTAGAGAATGAAGCAAACAAATAAAAAAAAGAAATATGAGAGAGAGAAAGGATAATTGAGGAAAAAGAGTGAATGTCCAGAGAAAGAGGACCCACCTGGGACAGCCACCGATGGAGTCTCAGACATGCCCGGCATTGGCTGATAATCATGGGGCCGCCTGATCTTCAAGCTCTGGCCCTTGAAGTTGATGCCGTCAAATGCCATGGCCTGGGTTGTCTCATCAATTGATCGGAACTGAACAGAGCGAGAATGAAATAAATAAATAAATCAGGTGATTGAAGCAGCATCAAGAAATGCCTGCACAACTATGTGCAATTCTTTACCTCTAAAAATGCAAAGTTTTTGTCCAGGTTGATCTGGCAAGCTAGCACAGGGTTGCCCGGTGCTTGGGAGAAACCACAGGCATGCATCTGGGCATTGAAGTAGTCCATCATTTCCTCCTGAAAAGAAATAATGTGACAATATAAATTTATGGTGTTCTGCAGTAGTGACTGCGCTGTCAAAAAAACATCCCATACAGCAGCTAGAAAACAAGGATCCTTCGCGTTTAAGTTTTCTCAAAAGACAGAACGAAAAAACAAGATCCTTCGCGTTTAAGTTCACTCAAAAGGAAGTGAGAACTCATGCTTCTATAAGCCATGCATTAGTTCTGCCATGTGTGGCAATGCACTCTCTAATATTAAATTCAAATATACAGCACCAGCACATCTGAGCAGAGCAACAGCGATAAGGGCAATGTGGAGAAAGAGATACAGTGAATGAATGAGTGGACGAGGCAAGGAAAAGAAAATTGGGCGACCCCTAAGCTTCGCTTTCAAGAGCTAAACATGATAGCATTATTAGCATGCCAAATGCACACACGCTATTGCCTTCCTAATGGCACGCTTGCATTCGCTCCTCGATGGAGACAAACTGTGCCGCAATGAAACTCAAGGTGGAAACACCTTCCTTCTCCAGTCTTAATTTGCATCGACCCTTATTTTCACTCATGACCAGTTGCTCCTTTGGTCACAACCAAGGACTGCCACCTCCACTGTCGACACTGGAATTTGTGCGAAACGAACCTATGGCATTAAAAAAACCCATGCAGCAATGCATCATGGGTACGTAAGGTGAGGAAGGGGGTGGTTGCCCAAGTGACGGAGAAGCCTTTACTCTCTCTTGGCTTGGGTCGAACCTATGGCATTAAAAAAACCCATGCAGCAATGTATCATGGGTACTTAAGGTGAGGAAGGGGGTGGTTGCCCAAGTGACGAGAAGCCTTTACTCTCTCTTGGCTTGGGTCGCCTGTAAAGCTATACCTTATCGCACATTTTTTCTGCTCAGTTTTCTGTCAGAAAATATGAAAAATAATTGCATTGTCATACAGTGCACGTCACACTATCACACCAGTGACCTCAACTACAGTCGGCGACCACTTATTCAGACTCGACGGTGTCATAACCGGCAATACAAGGAACCGGCATGCAAGGGACGCTCATCGGCGTACCTGCCATACGCTGTCCGCGTTCCACAGGAACGCGGGAAATCTCTTGGCGCGCTGCGAGGAACGCGCATCGGCAGGCCTGCTGTACGCAGTCGGCGTCTAGCGCGTGCACGGACGGCTATAAAAGGAGCGTGTCGGGAGTGCGCTGAGCTCTCTCTCTGGACTTCGCTGGCCCGCTCGTCTCGAGTGCGCTCTGTGCCCTTGTGATGGAAAGGCGCGTCAGTACGCTCTCGTTGCCATGTACTTCTCTTGTAAATATGTAAATTAAACGTATCTTCTACTTGTTCGTGAGACGCGTCGCAAGAGTCGTCCTTCGCCGGATCCTGGGTGGCAGCCTCAACCCCTCCCCGGGCATATCAACTGGTTGGCAGTGGCGGGATCGGTTCGTGTTCTTTCCTGGTACTGATACTGGTGAGTGCTCACTTTCCGTAGAGATTCTGCCAGGTGTTTTGGATAGATGGTGATGTTTATCCAAAAGGGTAGATTAGTTGCTGCTTTGTGAAGGATTGGGTTTATTAGAGGTACCTTCACGGCAGTTTGAGCAACGAAAGTCTGCACGGGATGACCATGGACTTGAACAAATTGAGGAAACCGGATTTAGTGCTGTTGTGCCAGGAGCTGGGGATTGAGGTGGCGACTATACATAGAAAGCGACTTTTAATACAGGCGGTTAAGGATTCTGGCGCGGATGCGGAGGAGCTCGCCGAGTGCTGGGAGCTAATTCAGGAGAGGATGAAAAGGGCACAAGAAGTCGAAGAGCGAGAGCGCCTTATGTTTGAAAGAGAAACCGTCAGGCGCAAAGAAGAAGCGGAAAGCCAAGAAAGGGAGCTTGAGCGCTTGCGGCTTCAGCTTAAGATTGCAGAGGCAAAAGGCGCTAGTGATCTGGGAACACAAAATGCAGAGATTCAGGCAGGTGCACGAGTGAGCATGAGGGACCTCTTGCAGCCTTACAAAATGAGCGAGGACATAGCGTTGTTCCTCGTAAATTTCGAAATAACTTGTGTGAGAATGGGGTTTGATCGTGCCACGTGTCCTCAAAAGCTACTAATGGTATCGCCCTGCGAAGCAGCGGACACACTTGCGCGTTTGCCAGCAACAGACGCGGATGACTATAACAAAGTGAAGGCTGCCCCCCCTAAAGAAATTCCGGCTTTCAGCAGAAGCGTTTCGCCGCCGGTTTAGGGACGCGCAAAAGAAAACGGGCGAGACATTTCAGGAGTTTGCATTCAACATGAAGGCCGATTTGGTGGAGTGGCTGAAGGGAGAAGGTGTCTACGAGGATCGGAATAAGCTGGTGGACTTGATCTGCCTTGAGCAATTTTACGGGTGCTTGGATGAGGAAATGCGCCTGTGGATTCAAGATAGACCTGGGGAGAGAAACATGGAACGCGCGGCTGAGCTAGCTGATGAGTACACCGTCCATCGCCAGTCAGAAAAAGCACGCGTTCGTCCATTCAGCAAACGGCCGCTCAAAGATTGCTCTGTGCGTAAAGGCGCCAGCTCTGCAATGAATGCGCCCGAGACCGAAGCGAAGGAAAACTCGGGGAAGGAAAAGAGTTTTGAGGTGAAAAAGCCACTTTTGTGTTTCCGGTGCCAAGAGCCAGGACACATAGCGGCTGGCTGTCGGAAACTGAAGGTAGTGTTTTCTTTTACGGGCAGTGGCGACGAAAATATGCAGCTTTTGAGACCGTACCTTCGAGACTTAGTCGTAAACGGAAAAGAATGTAAGGTCCTTCGTGACTCCGCAGCTACAATGGACATTGTCCATCCTGAATACGTTGAAGCTAAACACTTCACGGGTGAGTGCACGTGGATAAAGCAGGTAGTAGAAAAGAACAGCGTTTGCCTGCCTATCGCAAAGGTAACAATTGAGGGTCCATTTGGGGTACTGGAGACTGAGGCAGCAGTATCTCCGAACCTACCGAAGCAGTACCCGCACCTTTTTTCGAACAAGTCTGATATTATTTTGAAGCAGAGAGCTCTCAGCTTCGGGGAATTCGTAGCACAGGCTATTACCCTATCTAAGGCGCGCGAGCTCGCCGCTGTGAGGACTAAGGAAGTCGAACAGCCAGTACCAGCTGATCACTGTGAGCAAGCATCAACTAGTACGCATGAGGAAGGAAGCATGTCTGGAGCACCTGTGACAGTGGACAATAGCAGTGCTAGAGGCTGCTATTCAATCATCAACGCAAGTGCCCGCATGCTACACAATGGAACAGGCGTTTCCCCATATTGTGCTACCACATTCTGAAAGTTTACTTGACCTCCTCAATGTCGACAAGGAAACTTTAGTGCACGAACAAGATCTACACCCGTCGATGCAAAATCTAAAGAAACTTGTCCAGGAAGGAGTATCTCGTAGGCGAATAGGTCTCCAACGCCGTTCGGGTCTTTTGTATCGTCAATACAAAGATAAGAAAGGGGTTCATTACGACCAGCTGGTTGTCCCTGAGAAGTATCGGAAACAGATTATTCGCCTGTCACATGGCGAGGGATGGGCTTGCCACTTGGGAGTGAAGAAAACTAAGGTGAGGTTGTTAAGGGAGTTCCATTGGCCTCGTTGCTTTAAAGATGTCGAGAAGTATGTACAAACATGCGATGCATGCCAAAGAGTAGGAAAACCACATGAAATCCGGAAAGCACCCATGAAGTTGGTGTCGCTAATCACAGAGCCTTTCAGGCGCCTTGTTGTAGATGTAGTAGGCCGCTCCCGGTGACCAAATCAGGCTATAAGTACCTTTTAACCATGATTTGTCCAGCCACAAAGTTTCCCGAGGCTATTCCACTGAGTGAAGTCAATTCAGTAAATGTGGTGGATGCGCTACTATCTGTTTTCTCAAGAATAGGTTTTCCAGCAGAGCTCCAAAGCGATCAGGGTAGCGTATTTACCAGCGCTCTGACGACGGCGTTTCAGGAACGGTGCGGAATTCGCATTGTTCAAAGTTCAGTGCAGCACCCGCAGAGTAATAGTGTGGAGGCGTGGCACGCTGTGCTAAAAAGAGTACTCCGCGCGATTTGTTACGAATAGAAGAAAGATTGGGAGGCTTGTTTACCTGCCACTTTATTCGCCTTGAGATCTGTGCCACATGAGTCTACTGGGTTCAGTCCTGCAGAACTAGTTTATGGCAGGTCTCTAAGGTCACCCCTCCGCATGCTGCGCGAAGCATGGGAAGGCCGCGGAGAAGATCATACCGTAGTTGACTACGTATTGAAGCTCCTAAACCGTCTTCAGTCATGTAAGGAGTTGGTGGAAACCAACATGAAAAGCACCCAAGCTAGGGCCAAACTGTACTATGACAAAAATGCCCGCAAGAGAACTTTTGCTGTGAAAGACAAGGTGTTATTGTTAAACACTTCGCGAAAGAATAAATTGTAAGTACAGTGGGAAGGTCCTGCAGAAGTGGTAGAAAAGCTATCAGACACGAACTATGTCGTTAAAATGCCAGGGCGGCGTAAAGAGGTTAAGATCTACCACTCCAACTTATTGAAGCCTTATAAGGAACGCGAAGCGGTGGTTCAAATGGCGCTTAATGTACCTGAGGAGGTAGAAACCAATTTTCAGTATCCAGAACAGAAACATGAAAATTCGTTCGAAAAGCTCTTAGCAGATATTGAGGAGAATGCGCACCTAAGCAACCAAGAAAGGCAGGAGCTCAGTGAATTAGTGCGCGAGTTTGAAGGTTCCTTTAGTGACACGCCAGGGAAGACCACTCTAATAGAACACGACATAGAACTGATTTCTAACGACCCCATTCGGTCAAAACAGTATCGTTGGTCTCCTAGACAGAAAGAAATCTTGGAAAGTGAAATCAAACGCATGTTGGAGCTTGGTTTGATTGTCGAAGCGGATAGTGAGTATACCTCACCTATATTTCTCGTAGAAGCTCCAGGCAAAAGCCTAGACCATGCATTGATTATCGTCAGTTAAATGCAGTAACTCGGGACCAAACCTAC